TGTAGCTTTCTTGTAATTCTTATTTGTATATTAAATATTTGAATATTTTCTGGTGAGAATGTTAAAATAGACTATTAAGGATAACTTTTCTGTTACTTGTGTATCGATTGAGCCCTACCTGTCATGATGATGAACCCTTCCCTTGTAGAGATTGTATGGAGTTTATATGCGTTGGGCTTTTCTACAACTTTTAAACACAAATCTTCTAAGTTTGAATACCCTTCCACTTCTCTTCTACTGATACTCTGCAAGTTCCCTATCTTTTTTTTTTTTTTTAAATGAAAAAATGAGCAGGTCTCAGTTGAATGAAACTATTCTTTCTTATATTTTGGAATCAGCTATGGAAATGTTTCCTGATTTTTTTTTTTTTTTTTTTTAAGTAGACAAGAAAGTGAACCAGTACTATGGAGATGGGGAGGGGCTGGGCCTAACAGGTTGATGATCTAGGCATTCTTTTGACTCCATTTGAGGGCCTAGGGGGGAAAAATAACTTAAAACATAGACTCCAAAAAGATGAGTTTTGTTTTATTGTTTTGGCTGCATTGAGAATACAAACTGTCAGTACTTGAGGAGAAGGAGCAGCAGAAAGGAATTGATTTTTTTTTTCCTGCTGCAGATCCAAGTATTGTTAACCATGTGCATCTCCAAAGCAGCATGCTTACGAATCAAACAGTAGTTGATTCTTTCCTTCAATTAACAGTGAGAACCCTAAACCGTTTTTTTTTTTTTTTAAATTTTAAATAAGTACCAAAAACTTCAGGATAATGACAATAATTTGCTGATAAAAGTGGATGATAGTAACCATGGCAACTGCTATCTCTGGCCTTATGGACAGTATGTTGTATTGATGAAGCTTCAAATCCTTTAGTAGCCTGTCACTTTTATGGTGAAATGTAGTAGCATGTGTTGCAGGTGATTTTTAGCTGGATTGTGTTAAATTTGTGTGCCAGCTTATCTTTCCTTGTTAGGAATTTCTTGGACTGTATTCCACAGCATGTTTGTGAAGGTGCTGTTGCCTGAAAATAACCCACCACCTGTGTTAGGCCTCCTGATGCAGCTTGCACTCACTTAGATCTTCCTCAGCCTCCTTCCACATCGTGCAGAAGACAGGGTGTGTAGGAACTGTAGATACATGAATTACAGCTCTGACTTACCAGTTGGCTTTTGGGCATGTTCCTGATAGTTGAAATCTTCTGTTGTTTTTAGAAGAGGTCAATGGATGAGGGAAATGGGCCTATAGTGGAATTTTTCTTTCTAATGTTCTTTCCAGAAGTGTGTGTGTGTGTGTGTGTGTGTGTGTGTGTGTGTGTGTGTGTCTGTAGG